CTGTGGCCCCCAGGAGGTCGGACCCGCAGCCAGGTCGCTGAAGACACCTCCACCCAGGGCCACAGGCGGGAAGGCGGCGGGACCCAGACCCAGGGAAGGCGCGCACTCACTTGAAGCCCGTCTCGTAGTCCGTCCCGTCCACCCACTTCCAGGGCCCGTTTTGGTCGTGGAGGCCCATCCAGGTGTTCACAGGGCCTGTGTGATGCTGGACAAATCTCTGAGGAGAGAAGAGGCAGGTGGTGGTGATCTCTTCCTGAGGCCAGCCAGCCTCCCAGGCCGTCGGGGGCCCTCACCTGCTCCTCCCAGGACGTGACCACCACCAGGTGCGCGTTCTCCAGCCGGCAGTAGTTGTCTGCTTCGGCCCAGGCCTTCCCGGAGCGAGAGAACCAGTAGCAGCTGCGCCCGTGCTCCACCCAGTTGACCGGGCAGCAGGCATTCTCCGAGCCTGAACGGGAGAAAGAAACGGGGCGCAGGGGCTGAGGCGCTGCCCGGGGGCGCGGGGGAGGCCGCGAGTGGGCCAGGCTGGCCTCCTCACCATTGCCCTGGAGCGCCAACACCTGACAGCTCAGGCTCCGCAGGTCAGACACGAACTGCTTCACGTGGAGCAGCAGGCTGGAGTGATCTGCGGAGACGCAGAACGAGGGGAGGGGAACGAGGTCAGCCCCGCATCCTCCCGCTGGGACCAATCGCAGTGCCACTAACGGCAGTGGAGTTGGCCTGAGAGACCCCCCACCACACACACACACACACACACACACACTCCCACACAAATACACACACAACCTACCCTCACACACAATACACATACACCCCACACCCTAACCCACAGACACACACACAACACACCCTAACCCACATACACAGACAACATACACAACACAGACACAAAACACACCCTAACCCACATATACACAACACACACAAAACACCCTCATACATATGCACACTCATACACACAACACACCCTAACCCACATACACAACACACACAAAACATCCTCACACGCAACACACCCTCACACACATGCACACGCACACACAACATACCCTAACCCACATACACAGACAACACAAAACATGAAACACACACACAACATACCCTAACCCACATATACTCTCACCCAACACACACAATACACCATCACACACACAACACACTCTAACCCACATACAGACAACACACAAAACACACAACACATCCTCCCCCCACACACTCACAGACACACAACACACCCTAACCCACACACACACAACACACCCTCACACACACAACACACCCTCACACACTCAGACACACAACACATCCTAACCCACATACACACACAGACAACACACAAAACACACAACATACCCTAACCCACAAGCACAACACAACACACACAAACACATCCTCACACACAGACGCAACACACCCTCACACAGACACACAACACACATAACACACCCTCACCCACACACAAAAAACACACTCACACACACAACACACCCTAATCCACATACAATCACACACAACACTAATTCACCCACACTCTCAAACACAAACACACACAACAAACCCTCACCCAGACACAGACAACACACACTAACAACACACCCATGCAAACACACCCCCGCAAACACAAAACACACACAAAACGCACCCTCACACAAACACTTCCACACACAACACACCCTCACCCACACATACACACACACACTAACACCCTCACCCACATACACACAACACACCCACACATACACTTACACAACACACCCCTACCCACTACACACACTACACACACAACACTCTCACCCCTACACACACACACATACACAACACACATAACTCCTTCACACATGCACACACAACACATTCACACACAACACACATAAAACACATATTCACACAACACACACATACTCTCACATGCATTTACACATATATTTACACATACATGCAACACACACATTCTCACACACACTAACACATACACACATTCTCACACATATACACTGACACACATACATTCTCACACGTACACACACAGACTCACACTCACATACAGCCATCCACACTCCCTCTCTGACCTTCACTCAAGTCCTTCTGCTGTTTCTCCAGCTGGGATTCCAGGGACTTCATCTTTCTTCCCACATTGCCTCCTGGGGGAGAGACTTGCTCAGCGCCCCGACAGCCCCCAGCCAGGCCCCAGCGCCAGCTCCAGCCCCCCAAGCCCGGCCCCGGCCCCAGCCTCGGCCCAGGCCCCAATCCCAGCCCTAGTTTCAGCCCTAGTTCCAGCCCCAGCCCCAGCCCCAGCCCGGCCCCGGTCCCAGACCCAGACCCAGACCCAGCCTGGCCCCAGCGCCCTCACCCTGGGTGCTCAGGCCCTTGACCTGGGCCTCAGTGATCGCTGTGAAGTTGCTGAATGTCGCTCTCAGGGCCCGCAATTTCTCCTGCAGCTGGGAGTCTGGCCAGAAGAGGGTGCAGAGAGAACAAAATGGGAGGGCTATGTCCACCACCCCTGCACCCACCACTCCCCCGCCACGGTGCCCCGTCAACACCCCCCAGTATAGCCACCTTCCCTGTCCACCCCTGGGGCACCCACTTTGGGATCCGATCACACAGACAACCACCAGCAGCAGGAGGCTGAGGCCCAGGGAGAGCAGGAGGAGGAGGCGAGGTCCGGAGCAGAGACGCCGCAGGAGGGGCCGGGGAGGAGGCGGCCCTGCAGGACGAGGGGGTGTCAGGGTCGCGGGGACAGAGGGGAGCCTGGCACAGCTCGGGGGTCCTAAAAGGAGGGCAAGCTAAAGCGCCCCAGTAGACTAGGAGGAACTATGTACACGAGGAAATGCGGGCAGTGGGCGACCCTGCCAGGCCAGAGGCGACTGGAAATCGGGGAGGAAAGAGGGCTGGGGACGCGGGCGAAGCGCTGAGCCGCCCATCCCACCGAGGCCCTGAGCTGTTGCTGACACCTAATGGCAGGACTACGTCACTGCAGCCGATCCCGGAGCCTCAGTCCACCCACTCCTCCCCCGCCTTGAAACGCAACTGAGTGGCCCGCGCCAGGGGAGTCGCTGCTTCCACTGAAAGTGGGGAAAGGAGGAAGGTTTCTTTCTCTGTCATGAATTCCACTCGTCTTTGGCTGCGTGCAGGGGGAGAAGGTGCAGTAGCCTTCTGGCCCTCAGAGCGCTTCCACCCAGCGCGGGAAGAGACACGCTAGCCCTGTCCTCTGAGGGTTGGAGGGTGGGGGCCTCCCTGCCCGCTCTCCTCCCCCGTGGACCCTCCTTCCGTCAAAGCGCGCTACACCCGATCCCCCAAGAACTTCATCCTTGCTCGGCCTAAACAACATTCCTTGCTGGGAGGACAAAGAAATAGGTCAAGGGGGATTTGTTTTTGAAGCAAGAGGGTCTCGTTCTCCCTCAGGTCAGAGACCCTTCATCCCCCCTCGGAGAATACTCAGACTCTTGGCAGAAATCATCCCCCTTCACCAAACTGATCACTGATCACACACACACACACCACCAGGGCTCCCTGGGTGGTGTTGGAAGGGGAAACGAAGAGGGGACCTGATTTTGTCATAGGAAGCAGATAGTGACCTCATCTCTCCAGATTCCAGCTGTTCCCACACCCCTCGAGGGGTCCACCCTCCAGGGCCAGGAGGCACAGGAAAGCTTTGGGCACCTGTCCCCAAGAAAGGGACTCCAACCTCACACCCTGTACCTCTCCTGAGAGGGGCGGCTCGAACGTCTTTCCCAGTGTTGGGGGAGGGAGACAGACCCAGAGAGAGAGCTACTCTCCCTCCCGGCAAGAGTAGGAGCTGTGGCTGAGGGGCCAGAGCTGCCAAATTCGCACCTTGCAGAGGCAGGAAAGGTCGCCCTCACCTTTTCTGAGCTGATGATGGTCATTCTCCTCATTATCCAGATGCTGAAGGTCTTGATACTCCTTGGTCATGATAGGGCTGGCGCTGGACCTGGGGCTGAGTCAAGGCTGAGACTGGGGCTGAGATGGGGGCTGACCAGGCCTAGAGCTGGAATGTGGGGTCCATCTCTTTACTCCCATCTGATTGACAGCTCCATGGAGACCTTTCTTCTTTCTTTCTTTCTTTCTTTTTTTTTTTTTCGGAGACAGTCTTGCTCTGTGGCCCAGGTGGGAGTACAGTGGCGAGATCTCGGCTCACTGCAACCTTCGCCTCCTGGGTTCAAGCAATTCTCCTGCCTCAGCCTCCAGAGTAGCTGAGACTACAGGTGCATGCCACCACACATGGCTAATTTTTTGTATTTTAGTAGAGATGGGGTTTCACCATGTTGCCCAAGCTGGTCTCGAACTCCTAAGCTCAGGCAATCCACCCGCCTCAGCCTCCCAAGGTGCTGGGATTATAGGCATGATCCACCACACCCAGCTAAGACCCTTCTTCTTTCCTCCATCCCCTCCCAGGCCGGCCATCCAGAATTCATCCTCTGATGTTTTCCCACCCAGAATCCCCCAACACACCCTGGGTTCCCTCCGCACCACTGCACCCGCAGCCAGCCTCCCGCTGCCTCCCTTCCCATTTTACTTGCTCAGGTTCTCAAGGTCTGACTCCCAGGTTCTTCAGTGCAGTACGGGTGCCGGGCTAAGGAGGGGGCTGAAGCTTGGAGAATGGGGGTGGGCGGACAGCCGTGGATGATGGGAGGGGAGCGGGCAGGGTCCATAGGAGGGCCCTGGGCCCCCGTTTCTCCGTGTCTGAGTGTCTGTATGTCCAAGCACGTCAAACCTGGCATCTCCAGTGCCCAGGACTTTGGACAGTAAACAGAGGTGGAAGTGGATTGGAACTTAGGGGAGCGTGGGGGTGGGAGTGGGGGATGGGTTGCCTCTGCTCTCCTCCCCAGGGAGGGGGAGAATCGTGGTCTCCCTCACACGCACCAGTCACCTCACTCTTCCGTGCACCATTTGGGAAGGGTGCCAGGCGAGGAGGGGCTGGGATGGGACTGGCCATATTCCCCCTCCCTCCCTGTTTCACTTCCTGCCTCTACATTTCTCAGAATTACTGGTGCCTCCAAATATCCCTGAACAGGGTCAGAGAGACCGGTTCTCTGCTCTTGCCCAATCCAAGCCTGTCACCCTGGCGCCTGAGCCACAGGCCTAGTTTCCTGTGGGGCTGACCCAGGGTCCCCAGCTCTGGCCTGACTTGCTTCCCTCTCCTGGCCTTCCTAGGGAGTAAAGTCCTCCAAGCAGCATGAGGGGTGGCTCCGGGAGAGGCAGGAGAGCCTCCACTGCGACAGGTGCCATCGAACCTCCACTCACTGCGCTACTGTGGGCCCCAGGGCATTGTGTTCAGGAACTTCTCTCATGATTCCCAGAGCACGTCCGATTTCACAGATGAGAAAGCTAAGGCCCCAGAAGGTAAGAGCTTGCCCAGGGTTATGCTGCAAGGAAGCAGCAAAGGGTGGACTAGAACCTGGGCAGCCTGACTCCAGTCACTGTGTTTGGGCCCCAGAACCACATCCAGAGCCAGGATCTCATCCAGTTGACACAGCTGTGCCCCAGTGTCCCAGAGATGCTAAACCATGGCCCCTCACAGCTCCACAGGGCTTCAGAGAGGGCCATGTAAATTTGAATTATGCTCACTTGAAATCAGGCAATACTAAAGATAGGTCTCAGCTGGGCGCAGTGGCTCACGCCTATAATCCCAGCACTGTGGGAAACCGAGGTTAAGAGCTTGAGACCAGCCTGGCCAACATGGTGAAACCCTCTCTCTACTAAAAATACAAAAATTAGTGGGGCATGGTGCTGTGTGCCTGTAATCCCAACTCTTTGGGAGGTTGAGGCAGGAGAATCGCTTGAACCTGGGAGGCAGAGGTTGCAGTGAGCCCAGACTGCGCCATTGCACTCCAGTGTGGGTGACAAGAGTGAAACTGTCTCAAAATAATAATAATTATAATAATAATGAAAAGTCTCACCTTAGGTGCAAATGTGAAGTCACACAAATCCTACTTTACAGTCATTCCAGTGAGAAAACTAGGCTTGAATTTTGAGTTTTCAATTACATGAGATATTCAGAAGCACATCCCTTACATAAAATGTGACAACTCTGTATGTGGCCTCCTTTGTGTCCTGAAAACCACCATGTCGTTTACATGTGCTGGGACAATGGCCGGTGACTTTGTTGACTGTTGGGCTGTTAATTAAACCTCCTCTAATATAACCACTTACAATCTGGCTTATTCATGCAAATGAACCTACATTATGTCAGTCAGAATAGTGGTCGCCTGGCTGGGCGTGGTGGCTCATTCCTGTAATCCCAGCACTTTGGGAGACCAAGGCAGGCGGATCACCCGAGGTCAGGAGTTCGAGACCAGCCTGGCCAACATGGCAAAACCCTGTCTCTACTAAAAATAAAAAATAAATTAGCCAGGCTTGATGGTGTACGCCTGTAATCCCAGCTACTCAGGCGGCTGAAGCACAAGAATCGCTTGAACCCGGGAGGCAGAGGTTGCAGTGAGCCGAGATTGCCACTGCACTCCAGCCTGGGTGACAGAGCTGTCTCAAAATAAAAGGTGTGGGGGGCAGGCAGGCTGTGTGATTAAGTGAGGCCCACCTTGATAATCTTATTGTAAAATCAACTGCATATAACACACACACACACATATATAATATATATATATGTATATGGTCATGAACGTTCATCTATACAGAAATGACATAATCATGAGAGTGACAGTGCATCACAGTCACAGGGTCCAGGGATTAGAGCATGGAATCTTGGGAGAACGCTGTATTTTATTCTATTCTATTCTATTTATTTTTATTTTTATTTTCTTTTCTTTTATTGGAGATATGGTCTCACTTTGTTGCCCAGGCGGGAGTGCAGTGGTGCCATCATGGCTCACTGCAGCCTCAACCTCCCCAGCTCAGCCATCCTTCTGCCTTAGCCGCCCATCCCCCACTCCCATCCATCTCACTACATTGTCCAGACTGACCTCAAACTCCTGGGCTCAAGCAATCCTCCCTGCTTGGCCTCCTGAAGTGCTGCTGGGATTACAGGTATGAGTTACCATCCTGGCCAAGAGGCCACTTTTCAAATTCTGCTGACAACACTTCACACAAAGCCACCACTCTGTCCCCTCTGAGGACACTTTCCTTTGGAACGCCACACATGTCAGAGAGCAATTCCGACAGCGCAGGCTGGACTCCAAACCTGAGTATCCTCCTCCAGGGAAATCCAGCAAAGGCTAAGGGAGCCCTATCATCTCCTGTAGAAGGGGCAGGATTTTGTTTGTTTTTTTTTTTGAGATGGAGTTTCACTCTTATTGCCCAGGCTGGAGTGCAATGGCACGATCTCGGCTGACTGCAACCTCCACCTCCTGGGTTCAAATGATTCTCCTGCCTCAGCCTCCCAAGTAGCTAGGATTATAGACATGCACCAACATGCCTGGCTAATTTTGTAGTTTTAGTTAAGATGGGGTTTCACCATGTTGGTCAGGCTGGTCTCAAATTCCCAACCTCAAGTGATCCTCCCGCCTCGGCCTCCCAAAGTGCTGGGATTACAGGCGTGAGCTACTGCACCTGGCCAAGGTAGGATTTTATCGCTGGTAATAAGCAAGAAGGACTGGGTAGGGGGAATAGAAGGAGAAGATAAACCAGAAAGTCAGGAGTTTAGTCAAAGAATTAGCTTGGGCCACCCTTAGGAGGGCCTTGAATCCCAGGGGAAGGCATTTGGAATGTCTTACAGAAGCACAGAGGTCTCCAAAATGGGGGACATGCACCTTGGGGGGATGACAAGATCATCTATTAGGAGAGTGGGAAGAAAATATTAAAATATATACAAATACATTTTTAATCCCTTTCCTTTAGATTTCTATTTGGATATATTTTTGTATAGCTTTTTGGGGTTTTTTGGGTTTTGTTTTGTTTTGTTTTGTTTGACATAGAGTCTTGCTCTGTCGTCAGGCTGGAGTGCAGTGGCATGATCTCAGCTCGCTGCAACCTCCAACTCCTGGGTTCAAGCGATTCTTCTGCCTCAGCCTCCTGAGTAGCTGGTATTACAGGCACATGCCACCACACCCAGCTAATTTTTGTATTTTTAGTACAAACAGCATTTCACCATGTTGGCCAGGAGAGTCTTGATCTCCTAACCTCATGATCCACTGCCTTGGCCTCTCAAAGTGCTGGGATTACAGATGTGAGCCACCGTGCCCAGTGAGGATATGTTTTATAATGTATATAATAGATTCATACAGTGGTATATACATGGTATTTGTTATCCATTGCTGCAAAATAAATACCTCAAAATTTAGCAGTTTAAAGCAATGAATATTGATCATCTCACTCCATTTCTGAGGGTCAGGAATCTGGGTGCAGCTTAGCCAACTGGTTCTGGCTCACAGCCTCTCATGAGGGTGCAGTCAAAATGTCAGTCAGTGCTATGTTCATTTGAAGACTTGCACAAGGCTGGAACATCAACTGCCAAGGCAACTCACTCATGTGACCAGCAAGTTAGTGTTGGCTGTTGGCAGGAGGCCTCAGTTCCTCATTACATGGGTCTCTCCACAGGACTGCTTGAGCTTCCTCACAGCATGGCAACTGGCTCTCCCCAAGAGCAAGTGATCCAAGAGCACAATTTCATATATGGCCTGGCCTCAGAAGTAACAGTCCATCATTTCCACACTATCCTATTGGTCACACAGGATTAAAAAGAGTTGCCATACTCAATATGGGAGAGTAGAGGCCACATGGGTGTGAGTATCAGGAGATAAGACTCACTGAGGGCCATCTTGAAGACTGGCTACCAAAACGCACATAGGAGTCATAGGTGAGTGAATAGATATTGGGGGAACACGTACCCAAAAACATATTGACAGGGACATATAATCAACAAAGTTTAAAGACTGTAGACTGTGAAGGCCCATAAAGAGTTGCAGTTGGCCAGGCATGGTGGCTCACACCCGTAATCCCAGCACTTTGGGAGGCTGAGGCGGGTGCATCATGAGGTCAGAAGTTCAAGACCAGCCTGGCCAATGTGGTGAAACCCCGACTCTAATAAAAAATACAAAAATTAGCTGGGCGTGGTGGCACGTGCCTGTAGTCCCAGCTACTCAGGAGGCTGAGACAGGAGAATTGCTTGAACTCGAGAGGCGGTTCAAGCCAATTGTGCCACTGCACTCTAGTCTGGGTGACTAAGTGAGACTCTTTGTCAAAAAAAAAAAAAAAAAAGTTGCAGTCAGGGCAGTGGTGAGGTCAGATTTGTGGGTTTAACAACAACCTGGCCTTGGAGTGGGTGATGGGTCAGAGGTGGTTGACCCAGAGGCAGGGAGATCAGTCAGGAACCTGCTGAGTTGGTCTCAGTGAGAAACTGTGAGGCCGGAAGCCAGACAAGGAGGGTTATATGAGCAGATTTTTAGCAAAGGAATGAAGTGGACCTGGTAGCTACTGAATGTGCAGTCGGGAGGGGTCCAGGAGGCAGGGGGCAGTGGGACACCTGCCCGGGGTCCAGAGGCTACTGTAGATGGATTAGGAGTCTGAAGAGACTTATAAGCAGGAGCCTCTGAAAGCAGAGTCATGGGCGTGGTCCAGCTGTGGCAAAGTGCCCCATGTCGACCCCGCCCCGTGAGAGGGCATGGTGGAAAGGAGGCAGCCCAGGACAGTCCCTGCCAGTGGGAGAAGCAGGAGAAAGTGCCCAGGACTGCCAGTCATCCAAGCTTCAGGGTCAGCTCTGGGGACCATGATTATCACGTTAAATGCCAGGGAGACAGAATGGAATGAACTTCCAATGGGGGTAAGTCAGGAAGAGGGGAGTATTTTCAGGTTGAGGGAGGCCTGAGCAGCTGGCAAACAGAGAAGGGGCTGGAAGCAAGAGGGCTGGTGGCTTCTGAGCAGGAAGCTTGCTGAAGGCCAGAGGCTCCAGGAAGGATGCTAATCCAGTGGAAGCAGCCTGAGGCCCTCCATCAGTCAGACCTGCCCCACCTCGCCCTCATCTGGAAAGTGGGTTCATGCCCAGCTGAGAGTGCTCATCAAGGTTGAATGGGATAATGAATGAAAAGCACCTAGTGCTCGCTTCGGCAGCACATATACTAAAATTGGAACGATACAGAGAAGATTAGCATGGCCGCTGCGCAAGGATGACACGCAAATTCGTGAAGCGTTCCATAAAAAAAAAAAAAAAAAAAGAAAAGCACCTAGCACAGCGCCGACACACACCAGGTGCTCAGCACGTGCTAGCAGATCTTATTTTCATTATTCTCACTAGCAACACAGCCAAGACTTGCATTAGACCTCCAAGGCCTCTTCCAGTGTAGGAGGAGGAGAAAAAGGGAAAACTGGGATCAGGATGGCAGAGGATGTCTCTCCCCAAACCCTGGAGGGAGGTTAGCAACTTCATTGGGAGAGTGCTGGGGGCCCAGGGGGTTGTCTGAGTTGAGACAGTCCCTTCCTTGGCTGTGGAGAAGGAGGGTTCTGAGCTCCCTTAGTCCTTACCGGCCCTCTCGAAGGACTTTCCAGCCTCATGTTTCAGATGGGCCTGTCCACCCAAGGGCTGGGGCTAGACCTCCTGCCTCTGGGCACCCCAGACCTGCAGGGAGTCTGACACCCGCAGATCTGAAGAAGAGATGCCTGAACAAATAGGCAAGGAGGGCAAAGCAGAGGCTCTTCATGAACTTTCCAAAGAGGGCAATGGCCCCATGACTAGAAGAGGCTGAGCAGGAATTGGGTTGAGATGAAGCAGGGGAGGTTGAGGAAAAGGAATGTTACCCTCTAGCATCTCAGGCTGGAGGGCTGTGCACCAGGGCAAGGGAAGAGGGGAATCACCAGGGCTGAAAGGAGCAGACGGCCCTCTGTGCACAAGTTTAAATCTAAACTGACACAACCTACCCCAAGGGCTTCAATATCCCATCTCTGCAATTGACAAGAAGCTTGCCTGCAGGAGTGGGAATCCAAGCTCCCAGTCTCCAGTAGGGTCTTTCTCCCCCCAGCTCTCTCCTCCCCAGTGCCACTCTGCCCACCCCTGGCACACCCATCTTTTCAGCCTTGGGACAGCCAGGATTCTGTGACCCAGGACCCTCTCTATGCCTCTTTCCTACTTTTTGAGGGTAAAACTTGTTAAAACTCCAAATGATTCCAGGCTTTAACTTTTGGGTTTGTCCACATCTGAAAATAGACCAACAGGCCAATGACAAAAATTGCTACCATTTTCTACCATCCGTCAGGCACTGTGCTAAGAGCTTTACATGTACATCCCCTTTACTCCTCACAGGTGTCCAGAAAGGTAGGTAGTTATTCCCATTTTACAGCTAGGTATACTGAGGCTTAGAGAGGTGACGCCCTCCCCAAAGTGACAGTGACTCCACCATCATCCCTCCTGCTAACCCCAGTGACAGCCTAGCTGGCTCTCCACTGCCCCCTGCTGTATATTTTCCTCCACAATCAGAGTAACCTGCTCCGGGACAAACCCCAGTGCTCCTTCCACAGCCTTCCAGCAGCCTCTATGCCACTCCGAATAAATCTACAGAAAGTCCTCTGTGCCAGCCTCTCTACTTCTCTGACACATCTCCTATTTCTCTCTGTCCCCCACCCTACTCCACCCCAGTGGCCTCCTTCTGTCCTCCAACCTTTCAAATTTATTCCTTCCGGCCGGACGCTGTGGCTCACGCCCGTAATCCCAGCACTTTGGGAGGCCAGCGGGCAGATCACCTGAGGTCAGGAATTTGACATTAGCCTGGCCAACATGGTGAAACCCCATCTCTACTAAAAATACAAAAATTAGGCCAGGCGCGGTGGCTCACACCTGTAATCCCAACACTTCGGGAGGCCAAGGTGGGCGCATCACGAGGTCAGGAGATTGAGACCACCTGGCTAACACAGTGAAATCCCATCTCTACTAAAAATACAAAAAATGAGCCGAGCGTGGTGGCGCACGCCTGTAATCCCAGCTACTCGGGAGGTGGAGGCAGCAGAATCGCTTGAACCCGGGAGGTGGCGGTTGCAGTGAGCCGAGATTGCACCACTGCTCCCCAGCCTAGGTGACAGAGCGAGACTCCATGTCAAAAAGAAAAATTAGCTGGGTGTAGTGGCGTTCACCTGTAATCCCAGCCACCCAGGAGGCTGAGGCAGGAGAATCACTGGAACCCAGTAGGCAGAGGCTACAGTGAGCCAAGATCACACCATTGCACTCCAGCCTGGGTGACAGAACAAGATTCTTTAAAAAAAAAAAAAAAAATTAATTCCTTCCAGACTGTTCTCTCTACTTGACACACTCTCACCACCCCAGTCTTTTTCATCATTCAGGCCTCAACCCAAATGATGCTGCAAGGGGCCTCCCTGGCTGCTTGGCCTAAACCAACAAGGGCTATTTCTTTGCTTAATAGCATCCATCATTGTCCTAAACGTTCCGTGTTCACTTACTCCCTATAGTCTATCATCCCACTAGATGGACCCAAAGTTCCCTAAGGACAGGGACGTTGCCTTTCCAATATCTAGAACACTGACTGCCTCATTCCAAGGAACATCCAAGTATTTGCTGAAAGAAATAAAAAGGGTGGGGAGAAGAGGAGCCAGGATTTGAACCTACATCTGTTCGGGAGCCCAGGGCTCTAGTCCACTAAGTTACACTGCCTCCTCAAGCGGCCAGGGAAGAGTTCTCCACGGACTTGGAAGAATATAGTGCCAGCTGCAGCTGTGCTTCCCCTGAGGAATCATACGCGGAGTGAAACAGGGAGGGAACTTGTTCTAAATAACATGTACTTCTATATTTATTTAAATTTTTGTCAGGTAGGTGTATTAATTATGATTTACAAAATAATGTATGCAGGCCAGGTGCAGTGGCTCACACCTGTAATCTCAGCACTTTGGGAGACTGAGGTGGGTGGCTCACCTGAGGTCAGGAGTTCCAGACCATTCTGACCAATACAGTGAAACCCCATCTCTACTAAATAGAAAAAAATTAGCAGGGAGTGGTGGCATGCACCTGTAATCCCAGCTACTTGAGAGGCTGAGGCAGGGGGTGAAGGTTGTGGTGAGCCAAGATTGCGTTATTGCACTCCAGCCTGGGCAACAAGAGCAAAACTCTGTCTCAAATAATAATATAATGCATGCAAATTATGTGATTCTACCCCTTTCAGTTTAACACACAAACACATTACCTGCACATACCTTCCTCAGCTCCTAAATTTCTCCCTTCAGCCCACGGTAGAGAATATTAGCACAGCCTAAAACCATCTGTTATTACAAAGAACCAAGCTAAGAGAAGGATTATTTGAAAAACATCTTCTGAAGCAGTGCTCCTCCACCCAGCAAGAAATCCAAATCACCCCTCCGGGAGCTTCCCAGAAATGCAGACCCCTGGTCCCCATCCCCAGGATCCTGTTGGACTCGGTCCTGAATAGAAAATCCTGCAGGGCAACTCACAGCTACTGGTTGAAGTGACACCCCTTCAGCGATCTCTTCCTCTATTCCGGGACTAGTTTAGGCTTGGGTGGCTACACCCTCCACAGAATCACCACCCCTTCAACTTTAGTCAGGGTTGGCTACAAAAAATGCCTTTTTGCACTGTTTGGGATTAAACCTCCACAACTCTTAGGGCCTTCTTCCTCAGCCTTACCCACTGGAGCCCCTGAGAATGAGAGAGAAGGGAATGGTACCCCAGCAGGTGCCCCCCAAAGGCTCATCTGTGCCACAGCTGAGACCTTCCTGCTGGGAGCTTGCCAAACACATGAAGAAGGCAGAAGGCTGAGAGTCATCATTCCATACAGCAGGATCTGAGAAGCTTCAGTTAGGACTTAGGGCCAGGAAAATCTGATTCCCTAAAGGAACTAAAATTCATTCTCCCTTATACTAAAGAACTAGGTAATCGACCATTTCCCTTTATTGCCATTGCGATCAGGAAACTCAGAGATCATGTTTACCCTCATAACTAGTATTTGTTTCTCCTGTTTTAATCTTTGGCATTCAGGTTCTTATTTTCCTACCCTCATTATTTGCAAAGCTGCCTCAGCTCTTTCCCACAGAGATAGGTCATTAAGGCCAGGTGCAGTCACTCAAGCCTATAATCCTAGCACTGTGGGAGGCCCAGGTGGGTGGATCACCAGAGGTCAGGAGTTCAAGACCAGCCTGGCCAACATGGAAAAACCCCGTCTCTACTAAAAATACAAAGATTAGCCAGACGTGGTGGTGGGTGCCCATAATCCCAGAGGCTGAGGCAGGAGAATCGCTTGAACTGGAGTTGGGGGAGGGGTGGTGTGAGCCAAGATTGTACCACCACCCTCCAGCCTGGATGAAAGAGTGAAACTCCATCTCATTAAAAAAAAAAAAAAAAAAAAAAAGAGGCCAGGCATGGTGGCTCATACCTGTAATCCCAGCACTTTGGGAGGCCAAGGTGGGTGGATCATAAGATCAGGAGATTGAGACCATCCTGGCCAACATGGTTAAATCCCATCGCTACTAAAATTACAAAAATTAGCTGGGTGTGGTGGCGTGTACCTGTAGTCCCAGCTACTCAGGAGGGTGAAGCAGAAGAATCGCTTGAACCTGGGAGGCGGAGGTTGCAGTGAGCTGAGATCACGCCACTGCACTCCAGCCTAGGCGACAGGGCAAGATTCCATCTCAAAAAAAAAAAAAAGAGAGGGCATAAAGAAACCCAGTGTATATTCACACAGCATTTCTTATCGGCAAACCTCTGTAAAGATCATTCCCAGAGCCTCGCTCTGTCCACAGATCCATGAACATGAATGAAGAAAGTTTCCTCTCTATTTTCCTTTAGGGACTGTTGTGCTACCCAACAGGACTGAGACAGCCCAGGGGGGGATCAGAGCTCGACTAAGTTTGCAAGGTCCCATACGAGTTCCAGCCTCCTCTTTCTGGCCTGTCATGACTTTGGACAGAGCTCCAGCCCTTCACAGGCCATCTTCACCAAGTCTAGTTCCTTGATATGCCAGTTATCTCCATGGCCCGTTTTTCAGGCCACTCTAACTGCTCTGGTTTGGAGGGAAGAAGGGGGAGGGGTGTACCACCTGACCCATCCATCCCTGTGCCCGTCTCCCTCCACACCCAGGTCCCAAATAACCAGGCCACACACCGAGTTTCAAGTATCTGTCTCTTCCTTTCACTCTCTCAAAAGAAAAAATAAATAAATTGCAGAAGGCGGCAGCATTTCCAGTCTTCTCTGGCTCCCGGACACCCAACCCCTGACCCCTGCCCCCCACCCTCCCTCCCGCATTTCCCACTCCCTAGACCCATCCCTCCCTTTTCCCCAAAAAAAAATTCCCAGGAAAAAAAAAAAGCCACATTTAAACCTTCCACTCATGCAAACCGGCAAAGAAAAAAGGTGGGGGGCGTGTGGAAGGCAGGGGGCCCGCCTCAGAGTCCCCTGCTTCTCCCCCCAAAAACCACCTTTGAGAAGAAAAAAAGTGGAAAAAATAAATGAGAAATCAAGGGACATGGGAATTACGATGAGGGCAGGGGTGACCTCAGACCTGCCTCGGGAGAGAGCGGAGGCCTGTGGCCCTGCATCCCTGCTGCGGGTGCTCCTCGAGGGGGCCCTGACTTCTGGAATGTGTGTGGGAGAAGATGGGGGAGGGCAGGTGGCCCCCGGTGGGTCTGTGTGTGCATTGGGGGCTGGCAGGGGTGGGGGTCCTAAGGAGCAAGGGCTCGGAACCAGGAGCCCAGCTCCCCCCCAGACCCCAGGTTCCTGGCATTCAGGAGCCCAGTTCTGGGGTGCAGGGATACATGCAGAGGAGTGTCCCCCCTCCAATAGGCTGGATCCAGTTAGAAAGGAAATAAATAAGAAGGGGTGGGAGGGAGGCCGGGGGGAGCCAAGGGCTTGGGCGATTCAGTCCAGACCAAGGGCCCAGGAGATGGAGGCAGGGCGAGTCCAGGCCAAGCCAGGGCAGGAATCAGAGTCTCTCTCGGGCTGGAACCCAGATGTAGGGGCCTGAGAGGTCCTCGATGACACGCTTCACCTTGTGGTAGATCTCCTCAAAGCTGTCACCCTCCACGATGGCTGGGCGTAGGGTGGAGCAGGGAGTGAGGCCAAGGGTCAGAGGATGCCTGGCCAAGGGGGTAGCAGCAGCCCAGAGGAAGGGGCATCTCTTTCTAATTCTCCAAGCCATGAGCCATGGGGCTGCACCCGCTCACTGGGGCACCTTTTTTTTTTTTTTAAGATGGAGTTTCACTCTTGTCACCCAGGCTAAAGTGCAGTGGCGCAATCTCAGCTTACTGCAACCTCCACCTCCCAGGTTCAAGTGATCCTGCGTTGGCCTCCCGAATAGCTGGGATTACAGGCACCCACCACCACACCCAGCTACTTTTTGTATTTTTACTAGAGACGGGCTTCACCATGTTAGCCAGGCTGGTCTTGAACTCCTAACCTTAGGTTATACACCCGCCTCGGCCTCCCAAAGTGCTGGGATTACAGGCGTGAGCCACCGTGTCTGCCCACAGGGGTGCACCTCTTTTTTTCTAAGCCATCCACTGGGATTGAGGGGGGAGTGCTTTCTAATCCGAGCAAAGGTGCCCTACGTAGCCTCACCTGAGAAGCACTCTGTGAACTCCTGCTCCAGCTTAGTGGCTCTGTCGAAGGCTTTACGGGCTTGCTCCTCTGTGATCCGCTTATTAATCTCTCTGTGAAGCGGGAGGGAGCGCAGGCCTGAGACTGGGCCCACCTGACCCTGACTTTCACCTCCTCTATCCAGGGATGTTAAGTTGCAACTAGTATTCTCCTATTTGGAGCACACAGCAAAAAAAAAAAAAAAAAAAAAATACAATTCCCAATATCCTCTGGGGCCACAGATAAGCCCCCACCCACAACCACCCCAGTCAGGTGTGGCTACTCCAGGGCCATCTCCCAAGCTTCATCCTTCCAGCCTTCAGCCCCACAGATGGGATTTGGACTCCAACTCCCAACAGCCCTGGAGGCCCTGGCTTGCCCCAGCTGGTGTGCCCCAGGGGCTGCTGGGAGATGTAGTCCTGTCTAGCCCCAGGCAGGAAAGGAAGGGAAAGGCCCGATTGCCAGAATTCTCTGGGTTCCAGGTCTCCTGGATTCCAGGTCCTCATGGATCCCTGGGTTCCAGGGATCCCCCTCAGGGGCTGCTGGGACCGCTGTCCAGGGTTCTGAAGGAAGAGTTTCACCGCAGAGGCCTTGTGAGGCCCAGGGCCACATATGTGGGGGAGCAGAGGGGAGGCCCCCAGGACCATACTCACAGCACATTCTCCAGGGAGCGGGGGCGGATGAAGATGGCGATGGGGTGCAGGTGGGCCGCCTGCAGCCGCCGCACGGCATTGGCCGAGACATCAAGGATGCAGTGCTTCCCCTGGGGGCAGGCAGGGTGGGCGGAGGGGGGCCAGCAGGTGGCAGGAAAGGACAGACAGCGGTGTGGAGGGACACAGGACAGGGAGAGGTGGGGAATGGGAGGTTGGCCAAGGGGGAGTGACATGGATGTCAAGAAACATGGGGCAGAGAGTCAGGCAGGAAGAGGGTATGGACAGAGTAAAAGACAGAGAGAGAAAGGATAGGGAAGACGAAGAGGAAGAGCGTGGGGAGAGGGCAGGGACAGGATAAGATGGAGAAAGGGAGGAGCACCAGGCAGGCAGCGACCCAAGAGAGGGTGTCAGAGCCAGGGCAGCAGCAAATGGGGCGGTGTGCACAAGGCAGAGGTGACACAGGCAGGAAGGAAAGCCAAGAAAAAGGAGAAAGGAAGTAGGATAGAGGGAGGAGGGAGGGGAGGACGGACAAAGGACAGACAGATGGAAGGAACAAGGAGACAGATGGGAGGGAGGCAGATGGAGAGAGGAGCCGTGGAGGGAGGGAGGGCAGGGTGGGGAGCATCGGGAAAGGGAAAGGAGTTAGCAGAGGAGTGGGAGAGGGGAGTGGGGCCCCAGGAAAGGGTGAGGCAGGGGAAAGGGCCCGAGGGGAGTCAGGGAAAAGGGAGGGACCCAGTGGGGAAGGCCAAGCCACCAAAAACAAGGCCACGGGAAGAGGAGAAATGGGGCAAGGAGGAGGGAGTGGGTTGAGAAAGAGGCCAGATGGTGGTGGGGAGTTTGGGGTCAGGAAGCCAGGCAGGTGGGAGAGAGAGCAGGGGCAGAGAGCAGGTGGTCAGACAGAGTTGCCCAAGAGGAGAAGGAGGTGGAGGAGCGGAGTCGAGACCCAGCAGGGAAAGAGACAGAGAGAGAGAGAGTTAGAGAGAGCTGGAGGGAGGCAGTGGGGTGGGGAGAGGGGAGGAAGAGGACTAGGTGCCCGCCAGGTCCTACCTGCTCTGCCACCTCTCGCACGGACTGGACGCTGGTCCCATAGAGGTGGCTGTTGTACTGGCCGGCCTCAATGAACTTGTGTGCCTGAATGTCCTTCTCCATTTTCTCCCGGGACGACACAAAGTGGTAATCCCGGCCATCTATCTCATACTCCCGCTTGGGCCGCGTCGTATCTGCCAGGAAGTCACCCCACCCCCCAAAGATCTAACCCCCATTCCTCTAGCTTAAAACCAGCCTCCATCAATCAAATCCCCATAGTGCCCAGCTGGTCATTTGATGAAAGGGCACTGCCAGGGAGACCAAGACTGCAGAGGGGCAGGACCGCTTCCCCCAGCACCCTTCAGGGCCTCCAAGTCTCTGGTCTGGACATGGGTACTGGGGAATGTGAGGGCAGCTGAGAACCACTCCTTGGAGAAACCCTGTGTCCTCTTGCGCACCAATCCCCCAGGGTGCTCTGCCTATGGCTGCAGGGATGGGCCTCCTCCACCCCACCCCCACTTCCACCACCACCTCCATCCAAGGCCCCAGCACTCACGGGGAACACAGGATCCAAACTTGTCGGGGAACTCGGAGAGAAGATCATCATTGGCGCGGTCCTTGGTGGGCCCAAGGATGATGATGGGGCGAGCATAGTGCACTGCGGAGACAGAGCCTGGCTTAGGCCAAGGACCAAGTTGGAGCAGCAGCAGGAGCAGGGGCCAAGGCAGGGGCCAGGGCTCACCTTCCATCTGCGTCACTGTCTCGTAGCTCAGAACTGAGTCTTCTCGACCTGTCGGGAGGCGGGGCGTCTGCAAGGGGCTCTGAAACAGGGGACCTGGGGCCCTGTCTCCCCCTTGAGGATATCAAAGGCAGCTCAGCATGCCTCTCACCCACATCCTCCCTAACTGACCCTACCTACCCTGTGATCCAGAGCTGGAGCCCCAGTCCTAGGAAGAAAAAGCAGGCGGCCATGGGATTAGCTATGAGCTCAGCTCCATGAGCCCTCACACTTCCACCCAGGCTCACCTCTCCTCCACCTACCTTGGCCTTTAACCTTGACCACTCTCGTCGCTCAACCCTGTGGGATACGTGGAGGGAAAGGTGGGTAGGGAAATGGCCAGTGAGGAACCCTGCTGCCCCCAGGCTCCTGGCTGGGTAGCAACCCCTTCTCCACACTCGCTCGGGGCTGGCTGATAACCCCTTCTCCCACGGCCCTGGGCCCTGTGCTCCTCAATGAGGAGCTGTCCTTCCCAAAGGCTCATGGGAGCCACAGTCCCCAGGAGGGCCCAACAGACAAACCCCTAGGAGGTCAGAGGGCAAACCCACCCCTGGATGGCTGTCCACCCTGAGGGACCTTGGGAATTTCAGTGCCTGTGGCAGGAAGGCTACAGAGTCCAGAGCCTCACCGCCGTTTGCTGGGGATGAAGCCAATGTCATCGGTCTCACTGTCAGAGTGGACCCGCCGCGCCTGCCACCACTCCTCATCGCTAGCATCGATGACATGCAGCACGTCCCCAAAGCGGAAGCTCAGGGCCTGGCTTAGGAAGCCGCAGTCCTTGGTCTTGTCGTAATCAAACAGGGCCCTGGGGGGCAAGTGGCTACTGGTCAGAGCCCGGCTGAGGACCCCAGGAAGGTTGCATCAGTCACCCTGAGACCCAGCCCAGCGATCTGTGGATGGCACTCCCATGGCCACAATGGGTGCTGAGAAACCCAAAACTGTGTGGGGGCCGAACGCTGACTGTAATCGTAATCACCACAACTATTAACCATCATTCAGCCCACACTGAGTACAGTTTCCAGAGGGAGAGCTGGAACTCCACCCTCTCAAGAAAACAGTTTGCAGTACATGTGCAAACTGTCATAAAGTCACAGGGGTAACCTTGAATCTGTCCAAATTAATAAGAAAAAGAAAGGTCCCG